TCTGCTTTGAGCTCCCCAGTCCCGTCCCCTCCACCCTCTGCCACACCACCCTCTGCCACACCCTTCCCCATGTCCCTCTGAGAAGGCCCTTGGGAGGCTTTTCCCTTTTGCTGCAACCTGTTGGGAAGGCCCCAACCCCAACGGGTGTTGGCACTTGTGTGGGTGGTGGTGATAAGGCCTTTTTTCAGGGCGGCAGAGAAGAGATGCTCTTTCACTGCCCGCACTTGCTCCACTGCCTTCCTGCCTGCTGCTGCCGCCCGCGCTTCAAAGAGCGCGCGGAAGGAAGGTTCGGGGAAGGCGGGTGTTGAGATGCTGCGAATGACGCTGAGTAGGGAGGGGAAGATCTGCAAGGAGGAAGGGGGCGGGGGGGAGGAGGGGAGAGGGGAGGGGCGCCGCAAAAGTCAACACGTGGCAAATTTCGTGACCAAACCAGCCTCCAGGCAAACGCTCTTTAAAAGAGGCACTCCGGCCAGCCGCCATGTGCTCCCACCCACCAGCACGCGGTCTCGAGTGAACAAGGACACGCTTCCCCCTTCACGACCCACCTACACCACTCACGAATCACCTGCACCGCTCAAAACCCGATTGCACTGCTCACTACCGACCTGCACCGTTTGAGAACGGACAGGCACCGCTCAGAGTATCGCGCTCCACCACTCGGTACGGACCTGCACGCGGTCAAAGGCAGAGCAGGCGGGGATGATCCCAAGGGAGAGGAAGGCATCGTCGTTCGAGAGCAGCGTGACCGGCGACACATGGCTGTCTGCCTCCTCCACCTCCCCCAGAGAAGACAAGCGCGCCCGCCCCTCCCCTTCCTCAACCTCCTCGCTCTCCAAATCTGCTGCTGTCCCCTGCGCCCCTGCATGCGCTGCTACTTGTAGCGAGTCGCGCTGTAGCGGGTCGGGCTGTAGCGGGTCGGGCAGGCCGCCGTTGAGAGGCAGCACGAGGGCAGCCCCGGTGGGAATGGCTTCTGACGCTCTCAGGTGGAACCCCGCGTGGGTGAGCTGCGGATTGCGGGGAGGTGGGAGGGAGGGGGAAGGTAAATGGGACATAGAAGGCGGAAAGCCCTCAGATGAAAGCCCGACTGGTTGAGCTGTGGGGGGGGGAGGGATGGGAGAAAGGGATGTAGGGGAAACGTATCATGAAGCTCTTGTGGGGATTGAGTTACAGGCGGATTTGGGTGGAGTTGGCAAGGGATACAAGTGGGGGAAGGGAAACGGTGGTGGAGGATTGTTGCCAGCCTCTCACCTGCCACCGCACGTTGCCATCACCTCACCTGCCACTGCACGTTCCCTTGGTTCCTCTCATTCGCCCGTGCAACAGCATTCACGAGAGGCACCACCGTCAGCTCAAACCGCCGCTGATTCTGCTTCTTCCGCCTCTTCCCTCCCTTCCTTCCGCCCTTCTTCCCGCACTTCCTCCCCCTGCCCCCCCCCTGCTCCTGTTGCTCTCCCTGCTCCCCCTGCCCCTCCGGCAGGGGCGGCAGGCGCATGGGCAGAGCCAGCGCCCTCACGGCCGCCACCGTCGCCAGAAACTGCTGCAGCGACGGCAGCGAGGGGGGGCTGCTGCTGCTGCTTCTGCTGCTGGTGCCGGTGGTGCTGCTAGTACCAGCGCTGCTGCTAGTACGTGCGGTCCAGTTGGCATACTCCCGCTCGTACTGCTGCCTTTCTTTCACGGCCTGGCAGGGTGAGCGAGCGAGCGTTCAGAAGAAGGAGACGGACCAGGTCGCAGGGCAGGCGCAAGGAGAAGGAGAGTGAGGGTGCGGGTGACGCTGGAAAAGAATTGTGAGTCGACTCAAAAGTGAGGGTGGGGATGATGTTGGAAAAGAATAGTTGCGTGCGAGTGCATGTGAGAGCGGATTGTGAGAGCCAGATTGCGAGTGAAATGCGAAAGTACGTTTCTAGAGTGAATACTGAGGGCGAGTGGTGAGAGTGGGGAGGCAAAGTGGGGGAAGGGAGAGAAATGAGGGGATGGGAGAGGGGTGGAGAGTGGGGGGAGGGAATGGGAGCACTGGAATGGAACAGCAGATTACGGGACAAGTGGATAAAAATGGAATAGGAAGGGAGTAGGGGGAGGGCGAGGGGGAGGGCGAGGGGGAGGGCGGACCTGGTGGAGGAGGGGCAGGTGGGGGAGGTCGTTTCTGAGCAAGGGCAGCAGGTGGGCCGTGCGGGACGCCAGCAGCGCCGGCAGCACAGCAGGAGTCACTTGCGCTCCCCAGCTCTCCCCTGCGCCCTCACCTTCCCCCTCCCTTTCCCCTGGCTCGCCCCCCTCCCCTTGCTGCTGCAGCAGCAGCAGGCAGGCGGCAAGGGCGCCTTCGGGGGAGGGGGGGAGGTGGGGGGAGGGCGCAGAGCAGTGCGAGGCGTTGAGCAGCAGCGGCAGGGGCAGGCGCAGCAGCAGCTGCCCCGCGCCTATGGGCGCTGCTGCTAGCAGCTGGGGGAAGAACCTGAGGAGGGGGAACGAGGGTGGGGGGAGGGGAAAGGAGGTGAGGAGAGGAATAAACGTCAGTTGGATTGGGCGCAGCAGCAGCTGCCCCGCGCCAATGGGCGCTGCTGTTAGCAGCTGGGGGAAGAACCTGAGGAGGGGGAAGGAAGGGGGGGGGGAGAGGAACGAGTAGGATAGCGAAGGGGAAGGAGAAAGGAGAGGGAGGTGCGAGCTATTAATCCCAGAGGCCGTTGCAAGAAGCTGTGGAAAGGAGCTGGTCTTCTAGAATTCTCAAAAACCACTTGCAAGAAGCTGTGGAAAGGAGAGAGGGGAAAGGAGTGGTAGTACCAGCACCCGCCTTGCCACTTGCCTGTACTTCCTCTCCTCTGTCTCCTTCGCATCTTCCTTCTCCCTCTCCGCCCCATTGTCCCTCGTCTCCTCCTCTTTCTCCTTCTCCCCTTCCGCGTGCTCCCCCTCAGCCTCTCCCCTTCCGCGTTCTCCCCCCTCCACGTTCTCCTCCTCCGCCTTCTCCCCACCCCCATGCCCCTCTTTCCCCGTCAGCAGCACTTGCCGACCCTGCCAGTCCAAGCTAGTGCCTTCTGGAAGCTCCATCCGAAACACTCTCAACTGCATGAAAGGGTTTAGGGCATGGGCACAGGGCGCGGAGAGCTGACAAGGATGGACCCCGTATGGGTGCAGTGCAGAGCCCAGGCCTCTATGGGTTGAAGAAGGTACATTGGTTGGAACAACAAGCTAAGGCGTGGGACGGGAGTGAGAGTTCTAGAGGCCTAGTCGGAGGTTCTTGTGGGAACCTTTTGTGAACATTGGCTTGATCGAGAAGGGAGGAATGGGGTCACACAAGGAGAAACGCGGCAACACCCAAGTGGTCAGAGCAGTCAAAAGCATGCAGCAGGAGGAGGAGGAGGAGGAGGAGGAGGAGGAGGAGGAGGAGGAGGAGGAGGAGGAGGAGGAGGAGGAGGAGGAGGAGGAGGAGGAGGAGCAAAATGGGGCAAGCTGTGCTTTTGTTCATCACTCCCGCATCCCATCCACCCACTCTATTTGAGGCGCCTCAAAAGTAGTCAAATCAGTCACCCACCCTCAGACCTTGCAGCAAGAGCGCACATTGTGCCACCCACCCACCCACCCACAGCATTGTACAGCCACAGCATGGAGCAGCATTATGCCCTTGCCTGTCATATCAGCTCCCCACCCCATGCACTCACTCGAACGCTCTCCCCCTCCAACACTTCTCCGCACGCCCCATTGGCGCGCAGCCACGTCAGCAGCTCCGCAAACCTGAAACCTTCCAGCGGGATTTCCTCCCATCCCTCCGCGCCACCCTCCGCCTCCCCCTCATCGCTCTCCGCGGAGGTTTCTCCCCCTAGCTCCCGCAGCAGCCAATCGAATCCCTCCTCGTCCGCCTCCGCATCCGCCTGCGCAACCCGCGCATGCGCGGCCCCCCAGTCAGATTCCGCTTGCGCTGCTTGCGATGCGTGCGCTACTTGCAGTTGCGCGGTGACTGAAGCGGATGAGGGGAACGTGGAGGGCGGAAGGAGAAGAAAGAAGCAGAGGAGAGACCACCAGGGGAGGAGACCAGAGCGCAAAGAACGGAGGTTGCTACGTTGGGCAGCGCAATGAGCACGTTCTCTTGCTGCTACCGCTGCTGACGTTGCTAATACAGCCATTGCCCGGAAGCTCGTACTAGACTTGCTCGTAGCGCTCTATCGTGAGGTGGACATTACAACCAACAGACGACGTGGGATGGTACAAGTAGTAGCGTTGTGCGAAGATCACGAATCGTGTAATGCCAGCACAACGGGACGGCAATGGACCGAGGGAGAACGAGAAACGGGATATCGCATGAGGATTGAGCAACCATTATGCAAGAGTTCAGACTTCCCTAGGTTCTCGAGTCTCACGCACCTTGCGGTGAGACCGATCACAAGCTTGAGTTAGTCTAGGAATTTGAACGTTTTGGGGTTGATAGGAGCAAGATTTTTCTCGCATTGAGACGGACTCGTAATTCGATATAATAGCGTTTGTTGCTTCATTCTACACATTTAACCACTTTTTAACGAAGAAAAGCCGAGAAGGGAGGCAGGATGGTGCTTGGCTACTACATCTGACGCGTGTTCACGAAAAGCGAACCGCCTTCGTGATCAGACCGGTGTCGATATGGTGTCATATATGACATTTTAGGGAAGCCTTAATTGCTTCCTTCAGACCGTAACAGCCTATCACGAATTCTCTTTGCATGTGAGATCGTGTTCGACACCGACCTGGACGGATCAGCAGAAGTTGCAATCTAGCTTTAACACTGGTTCGCTGAAGACGCTCTCATTCCCAAACTTTCTCCAAGCCAGAATCACAGGAATCTGCTGATCAGTGTTGGTTTCCTTTGCAGCCATGTTTTGAAGACGCCCCGCGCCTCATCCTGCATTTTCACACAGCCCCTAAGTTCCCTGACAGAATCAGTTTTGCAGAAATTCCAAATCCACTTCGCTTCCCACGTTCCTTGCGGAGAAGCGCGTCAATATTCGGGGGCTGCTCATGGTACTCCCGTTCTCGCACGGAACACCATGAGCGATCTCCAAGATTCGCGGAGAGACGCCAGCGTTTTCCGCGGATCGTTCGTTCCCCTCCTCCTCCGCATCCCCCTCGCGCTCATCCTCTGCGCCGCTGTTCTTCCGCGCGCCTGCGGCGATGCCCCCACGTCATGTTCCGCCAGTCATTCTCCCCCCCATTCCCCTGCGCGAGGCACCTGTTCTGCCTCTACTGATGCTGACGGCATTCCCCGCTATGCTGCGCCGGTGGGGGAAGCGCCAGAGGGAGAAGCGCCAGTAAAGGAAGTGCATGTGGGCGGAAAATCAGTCGGCGGAGAAGCGAGGATTGGCGGAGCGGAAGGAGATCCATGGGAACGGTGGGGGAGCAGTGGAGAGGGGAGCGGAAGGAAGATGGAGGAAGAGTTTGATTGGCTGTTGGATGATGCTGACGAGGACGCGGATGGGGTAGAGGGAGGGGAGAACGAGGAGGATGTGACAATACGAACGAGGGAGGGTGACAGTAACGAGGAGGAGGAACAGGATAGTTATCCAACTCCTGAACTCTTGAAGGAGTCCGGATTCATGGAGTATCTTGATTGGCTGCGAGAACACGGAGTGGAGGGTGATGTGGCAGCTCCTGGTAGCCCTGTTCGCGTGAGTGAAACAAATCCGCCACTGTAGTCCTCTCTGGATCTGATTTTCTTTTTCTGACTTTGCCATCTTTCCTTCGAGCTGACACTTTTTTCTATAAACATCTTAGTTCGTTGAGTCCTGGTTTTGCTGTGTTTCCTCTTGCAGCTCATGATTCTGAGAATAGAAATGGCTGCACAAGAGGAGGACGAGGAGGAAGGGGAAGAAGAAGAGAGAGCAGACAACGACCCACCAGAGTACAGGTATTGATCAATCATTACGTCTAACAAGGTGACTTTTGAGTCAATTCAAATGTCACCTCAGAGCAGACAGCAACGACCCACCAGAGTACAGGTATCGGTCAATCATTATCATCTGCCGCACATCGCATGCTAGTGCTTCTCAGAGATTCCCGTTGCTGGCCTGGCTTCTCAGGACCATCCCATCCCATCCCATCACATCCATCCATGCAATGTTTCCGTCCATCCCTCGCATGCAGGTACCTCCCATCCCATCACAGCAGTCAGCACAGCACGCACCTTTCCCAAAGGCCAGCACCTCTTGAGATGTCTCAGCAGAATTCATCGCCTCTCTCCCTCCCTGGTCCCTCCCTCTCTCACAGGTACCACCCATCGCTGCTATCAGCTCGCACCATTCCAAAAGGCCAGCGCCTCTTGAGATGTCTCACAAATGATTGAATCTTTAACTCTCCCAACCTCCCTCTCTCACAGGTACCACCCATCGCTGCTATCAGCTCGCACCATTCCAAAAGGCCAGCGCCTCTTGAGATGTCTCACAAATTATTGAATCTGTAACTCTCCCAACCTCCCTCTCTCACAGGTACCACCCATCGCTGCTATCAGCTCGCACCATCGCAAGAGGCCAGCACCTTTTGAGATGTCTCACAAGTGATTGAATCTGTAACTCTCCCAACCTCCCGCGCTCACACCCGGGTCCCTCCCTCGCTCGCAGGTACCACCCATCTTTACAATCATCTCGCACCATCCCCAAAGGCCAGCGCCTCTTCTCTATTCCCCTCCGCCTCACCCTCTCCTCCTCTGCCTGCTCATCGTCCTCCTCGTTCCCCCTTCCTGAGCTTTCACCTGAGGGCTATCTGGCGGGCTGTATGCTGCTGCAAGCAGCTGCAAAAAGAGATCGGGCGGCAGAGAGATTGTCTTGGGCGGCACTGGCAGGGGTGCTGCTGCCGCCCGTGAGTCTGGCGAGGCCGCTGCCTCTCATGCTGGATGACGACCTGCGCATGGAGCTCAGCTACAAGCCGTTGATCGACAGGGTAAGACGAGTCTAAACGGTTTATTGACAAGGTGAGACGAAAATAAATAATCGGTTGACACAAAGTGAGACAAAGCTGAGGTGTCAGGCAAACTGATCTGGACTGTATCAATATCGTGTTTCAAAAAAGGATTCATTTGCCGTTAATGTGTTCCACATTTTTCTTGTTCCTTCTTTGTTATCCCGTGCATTCACCCCTTGGGTTGGGTCCCATTCTTGCCAGCTAGACCAGCAGTTGGAGCAGTACCAAGATGAGTACGACGCGTGGGTGAACACCACTCTGAACCGATCTGCCTCCCCTGTACCTCTCTGTACCCCCTGTGTGTACACCCTGTGGGCCCCATTCTTGCCAGCTAGACCAGCAGGTGCAGCAGTACCAAGATGAGTACGACGCGTGGGTAAACGCCACTGTCAGCCAGTCTACCGCAGATGACGCGGACTTGTCTTTTGACAGCTTTCTTCAAGCTGTCGCTGCTGCTCTCTCCCTGTCTCTGCCGCTGCTGCCCCAAGCCCCGTCGCCTTCAGCACCTGAGAGTTCACCTGACAATCAACCTGCCGCTTTGGGGATGGTGCCCTTGCTGCACCTTATGAGCCACCCTGCTCCTGTCCAGCCAACAACAATGGGAGCAACAGCTCCAGCAGCAGCAGCACCGGCGACAGCAGCGGCATCAGCAGCAGCAGAATCAGCAGCGGCAGGGGAGGCAGCACAAGCAGCAGCAGTGACGGGTGCAGCTGGGGGAGGTGGAAGCAACGTGCAGTGGCAGGTGGGTGAGGGATGGACGGGGAAGGGGGGATGAAGGGAAAGGCGAGGGGGATGAGAGGGAGGGAGGGGTCACAAGGATGGGCGGATAGAGGGACATAAGACCCAATTGCTGATTCTGATAGTAATCAGTCCTGACAGCTTGACACATGACTCGCCACTCCTTCATTCCCTTTCTTTCTGCCAACCACACACACCCATCCTCCCTTCCCTTCCACGCAATGCAGGTGTCTAACGATTCAATCAAGGTGTATGCCAGCGAGGATATCCCGGCACAATCGTAGTCACCTTCAACTATTCTCACATTCGCCTTTCTTCAAACATTCCCATCGCCCCTTCCATGCAATGCAGGTGTCTAGAGATTCAATTGAGGTCTTCGCCAGCGAGGATATCCCGGTGCACTCTCCTCTCGTCCTCGCCCCAACGCCAATGCCCACCGCTCCTACTCAACAAACAGACACTGACGTGAATTTTGCAACACTCCTACCTCCATCTCCACCACCTCTGCTCTCTAATGACGATGTTTACTTAAGCACTGGTACTGTTCCGCAGGACACGGCTTTCGACCGGGTCCTTCTTTTTCCCTCTCTCGCCCACACCCTCCGCTCCTTCTCTCTCGCGTTTCCCTCCACTGGCCTGCCCGCTAAACTGCCCGAGAAAGAGTTTCAGAAGCGGGCAGCGGCGCTGGAGGACCGTGTCGTTCGGGCAGTTCTTGAGGTGAAGAGAAATGCTTTAAGCGCTGCCCGAGGGGTTGGAGGAGACACAGATGGCATGACGGGTGGCAATTGGTATGGGATGGAGCGGATGTGGTTCTGGGAGATGCGACGACAGAAGCAGCTGGAGCACCAGAGGAAGAAGAAGGAAGGAGAGAAGCACCGGATGATGGGGATGGAACAGGAGGAGAACAGCAAGGAGAACGACAAGGAAGAAAAGGAGGAATCAGTGGCAGGGGGGGTGGATCCAGAGGGGCTCTTTGCGTATCCTGAAGGGCGGATTGACCCTGAGCTCCTCGCTTTCCTCACTGCCCTCGCCTATCTGCGCTCCACTGGAACAGGTGAGGCACAGCTTTGCTTGAAAAAGTGGGAGTGGAAGTGACTGTGGTGCAGGTGACAGAGGTGGGTGTGGCAGGGGAGATGGATATGGTATGGATCCAGAGGGGCCCTTTGCGTATCCTGAAGGGCGGATTGACCCTGACCTCCTTGCTTACCTCACTGCGCTTGCCTTTCTGCGCTCCATTAGAACAGGTGAGACCCGGTGCTGTTGAAAGCCAAAACCACTGGACAGGATTTATGATTGTTGAAACCATTACAAAACCCAAACCTGCAATCAATTTTTAACCCTTTCCTCTTCTTTTGGGCCTTACAGGAAGCCCAGCTCGCGTTTCATGCTCTTCCGGCCTGCTGTGTGTAGGGAGGGTGTTCTGTGCTTTTCTGAAGCCCTTATGCGTCTCAAAAGCACCCTTATCGGAAGCCCAGCTCGCGTTTCATGCTTTTCTGTCCTGCCATTACATCCCCTGTCTGCACGCTGTCCATCTCTATACTGATTCCGTTCTCCACACTCCACACTCATCACCCCACTTCCCACAACCAGAGCCCGACCCAGCGCTGCTGGCGCGGGTGAGTGTGGCAGTGGCGTGGAATCTGGACGCCACCACCACCTGCACGCACATGCCACTTCTCTCCCTCCCCTCCCACCCGCTCTTCCTCCCCCTTTCCTCCTCCTCCTCCTCCTCCTCGCCCAATCACATACCGCCACCTGTCACCGGCCTGTTACCAGCGCTGCGGGCGGCAGCAGGCATGCTGAGGCGGCTGGTCGAGAAGCTTCTGGGCGGCTTCTCCTCGTCTGTGAGCGAGGATGAGTTCATGCTGACGTCAGGAGCCATCTGCAGGCGCTACCGCGATGCTGGGCGGCTGGACGAAGCCCCATCTGGGGTAGGTGCTATCTTGCTTCATGGGGTGGGGAGTAGGTGTTTCCTGGTTGGCCCCATCCAAAACCGTCGCCTCTGTCCCAACCACTCTCCCTTCCCCACCTCTCACCCCCCACAGCTCTGCCTACCGTGGTTCATGGGAGCATTAGAGGAGGTGCAGCAGGTGCTGCAGGTGAGGGCCAATAAGAAGCGGTTGCTCATCGACACCTCTGATTGGCTGCTGCTCGCCTGCGACCCCAAATACGACCTGCGATTGGACGAGCCAGAGCCAGTGACTGCAGCAGCTGCTGAGAGCAAGAGGAGAAGAGGTGACGCAGCAGCAGAGGAGGATGAAGAGGAGAGGAGTGATGAGGAGAAGTTGGGAGTGTTTTTGGAGTGGGTGCGGGCCAGGGGGATCCCTGACTTTGGCAAGCCGCGATCCACCTTCGAGGTACTAAAGAATGATTACTTGAGTATTCACGTGCTACTTGAGTCGAATCCTTCCCCTCCTTTCACTCCTTTCACTCCTTTCACATCTTTTCCTCCTTTCACACCATTCTCCCCCACCCTCCAGCAAGTTGCCTCGTATCATATCTCATCCTCTCCTCCTCCGCCCATTCTTCCCTCCTCCCTCGTTTCACTCTGTCACAAATCGTCTCTACCTGTTTCTCCTCCCTTCCCTCCCCTGTCAGGTGCATTTCCGCCCAGAGCCCAACAGCTCCCATTCACCTTCTCTCAAAGCTCACGGGGAGTTTGCAGCCTCTTTGCTGCAGGCCAAAGCACGGTCCAGGTGAGCTCTGAGGAATCTCAAGGTGTGTGGTCTTGTTTGCAGCCTCTTTGCTGCAGCTATATGAAAATCACTTTTTAGATTTTTCAAAAGTGATTTCCATATATCACAGTCCTGGTGAGCTAGGAGGCATCTCGGAATGTGTGGTCTTCTTTGCAGCCTCTTGGCTGCAGGCCAAAGCACGGTCCAGGCGAGCCTTGTTGTGAAATAACCTAAAACGAATTACACTATGCGTGGAACTTCGACTCGTCTCCTGGCTACTTTTGAGTCGACTCAATTTTAGACTCATCACACGCGAATCACATTATGCGTGGAGCTTAGTCTCCTCTCCTCGCTACGTCAAAGCACTTCTGAACGTACCTCCTCCCCCTGTTTCTCTCCCGCCCTCATCCGCCCCTCTCTTTCTCCACCTACCCAACTCGTCATTCCCTCCACTCATCACCCCCTCAACGCAACCCAACACCTTTCTAGGAAGCAGCTGACAGTGGTAGCAGGGCAGTCAAAGAAGAAAGATCAACTTTTCCTCGCCATCCCTCGCGCCCTCTGGGTGTCAACACACACCATGGCAGAAGAAGCAGCACCCTTTGCCAACCCTGTGTGGACCCTCTTTCCCTCTCGTCCATCCTCATCCGCCCCTCTTTCGCATCTGTCGCCCCACTTTCAATCTCCCCCACCCACTCATCTCAACCTCTGAACGCAACCCAACCCCTGACAGCGGTGGCAAGCCAGTCCAAGCCGAAAGGTCAACTTCTCCTCGCCATCCCTCGCGCCCTCTGGGTGTCAACCCACACCATGGCAGAAGAAGCAGCACATTTTCCTTCTATCGAGGAGCCTTTAAGTCAACTCATAGAACTTTCTTGTCCTGCCTTCCCCCTCCCCAAACCTAAGTTGGAAAAAACGCGTTTCGCGTTTAGTACGCTTTCGTATAAACGCTAGCGTCTAAACGCAAAACGCTGGCCGGGAGGGGTCTGGTACGCACAAGAATCCGCTTGCCCGGGCAGGAAAAACATTTCCCCCGGGCAGGTTAGATGCCAGGCCAAGAGATGGAAACTGGAGCTGCTGTAGTAGTCCACTACCTAATTGCTGCTTTAGTAGGTCATCGCCGCAAGTGAAATAAGAAGGGGAGGAAGAAATCAAAGAGAGATTATCGACGGAAAAAGCGGCCTGACATTGAGTGGGGAGGATGAGTTTGGTAGAAGTTGGCAACAAATTGGATGGGGTGGAGTGGGTTGTTGAGCGGTGGATAGGAGGGGGAAGACCTCGCCCGAATCCCTCTGCGGAAACCCGTTCGCCCCTGCGGGTTTTCCTCAGAGGGATTTTCGTTTTCCCTCTGTCGCGTGGCGGGGCACGCGAGGGGCGGGAGCCACCCCCCCCCTCCCGCCCGAAAACGGGCACCCCCAGCTGGCGCCAGCTGCCGATTACGCCAGCAGCCCGCGCCCTCGAGCTGGCAGTGGTCCCCCTCCCAAACCGAGCCCAACCCCCCAACCGAGCCCAACCCCCCGCTCAGTTCGTCGACGGGTTCCGTCAGGTAACCCACCCGTCCCTCGCCGAGCGACGCCTCGCCGACGGAACCAGTCCGCGATATTTCGCCGGCCAGACGAAAGCGACGCCCATCTGCGCCGCGCTCCACCGCTCTCGCCCTAGACGGGCCCGTTTCGTTCAAGCCGCTCGATCTTGGCGACGTGTTGAAGGCCCCCTCCCGAACCTTGGAAGGGGCCTTTCAGCTGCATGCAAGGCTGCCCACCCCAACGACCAGGTTTCACGTCGAGGCCAATGGGGCCCCGCCGGCCTCCCTCCTCCTCCCACGTCTCGGAACGCGCCCTGCCTCCTCGCCCTTGAACCCCCCTGGTCCGTCGCGGTGGGAGGGATGGCAAACAGCTAATACCCTGCGTCCGGTCTCATTTTGTTGCTGTTTCCGATTTTTGCTTCCCTACTTCCTAGTCCCTGCTAGTTCCCAACTCCCCTGCGCGTCCGCCCTCTCCACTGCTAGAACAGACATGGCTACGGGCCCCGCCTCCGTACCCGTCATGAACGAGGCCACGGTTCGACGCGGCCTCATCCTTAGTGCAGGCGGGGTCGAGGTGGAGGTGTTCGAGGACCAGCTGAATGCGATTAGAGAGGCGCCGAAAGGGGAGCTCGACGAGAGCATGATGGTCGCGGGCGTCGTGTACGTGTCCTGTCGAACATTTTCGGTTTGCCATGTTTCGGTTTACCAATCGCTGACGTTGACTTAGCTTTCCGTGCAGCCTGTTCTGTCATGAACTGCTCTCCGTCGAGCAGCTCCCCAAGGTGTCGATCGTGACTCCGGCGCGTGCGCGTGAAGAGATGGCCCGTCCCACCCCGGTCGCTTTTGCGAACAACCACCTCGACGGCCTCCTCGGCAAGCAAGTGGTTTTCGTTCTGCTGCGGACACCGTGAGTTCGACACTCTCCCGTCGCCTTGCGTGCTCCGTCTTTAGCCCTGAACCCGTTCTCACGTGCATTGGCTGTGCATGCAGACTGAGTGTGCCTCCGTTCTCCCACTCGAGCCTGTTTGTGGTATCGCGCCCCGATGATCTGCTGGCTCCGAGGCACCGTGGCAGTCGAACTCGAATGATGCACTTCGATTCGAAAGACAAGTTTCCCGATATGAACCACCAATCTTCTCTGGCGCAAGAAGTTTTCGTGTGAGTGACAGCTTTGCAACCCTGCTGTCGAGCTGCTGTTCTCGACAATCTTACTCTTCTGTCCTCTGCGTCGCAGGTGGATGAAGAAGCAGCTTCGCGCCGAGTACGCGATGACCCACCAGGCTCTGACCGAGGACGACCAAGAAGTGTTGAAGGTGATGGACCTTCGTCTGGAGTTGAACGAGGATTTCGACCATCTGGTAAGCTCTCCTTAGACCAACAGCGTTTTCGCCGAGCAAGTGTTTTGTCGCTTACGTATGTTTTGTACCCGTCGCAGACGACGACGGCCTTGTCGAGCCCCTATCAAAACGGCGCGGCAGCTCGTGTCGTGCATGGGGTGCGCCGGATTCCGTCGAAATGGGACGACTTCATCCTACAGCCTCGAAAGGGCGAACTCGTGCATCTAGGGAGAACGAACCCTGGCCCGGGTGTGCTTCCGTTGTTCATGGTCAAGCTGTTTTCGAGAAAGATCGACCAGCTGGCGGAGGGAGCAAGTGTGGGAGGGGGTGCCGACCACGAGGGAGGAGGCGAGAAGACGGGACGCGTCGTGATTGAGTACAGCGTCGAGGAGGAGGAGGAGGAGATCGAGGAGGATACATCGAGGCAGGCTCAGCACGGGGCGAGCGGCCCGGGCGGCGATGCGAACCAGGACGAGGACTCGAGCTCGGAATCGAGCCCCGGCTCGAGCTCGAGCGATGAGTCGGTCGAGGACGACGGCGAGGGCGCCGGACATCGAACGGAGCGTACGGGGGAGCACGGAGTGGCGCTCGGGGAGCGGGTGGACGAGCGAGTAGAGCTTATCGAGCAGCAGGCGACAGGGGAAACAAAGACTGTCGAGGAGCAGGAGGGCGGAGCGGCTGCGCAGGAGGGTGGGGTCGGAGGGCAGCAGCAGGTGGTGGGCGAGGTGGCTGCGCAGGAGGGCGGGGCAGGAGGGCAGCAGCAGGAGGGCGTGGCGGCTGCGCAGGTGGGTGGGGCAGGAGTGCAGCAGCAGGAGTTTAGGGTTGCGGCTGCGCGGGTGAGTAGGTCGGGAGGGCAGGAGCAGGAGGTCGGGGAGGCTGTTGAGGAGTATCGTCGAGGAGATGAGCGACAGGCCGCCGTAACAAGGAGTCACCGCACGGCCAGTGGCAGCGGACAGGCGGGCCCTTCGACCGGGTGGCCTTCGACGGCAGGCCAATCGACGGCGAACGTTGCACCCGGAGGCCAGGTCGTCGAGCTACTGCAGAGGGTCGAGAAGGTCGAGGCGTCGCAGAAGCAGCTCGTCGCCGATGTATTTGCGAAACACACTGAGCAAGCCGGAGTATTCAACAGGCTTGCGGCGGATTTTCGGACGGCGTGGAATACGATTTCGGAGTCGTCGAAGAGCACACTGTCGCAGTGTGCCGAGGCTGTGAAGGGTGTCACGGCGGAGAGGAACCTGTTGGAAGGGGCGCGAGCGAAGATCGACGAGATGAGCGGGAAGATCATCGAGGGGGTGGTAGCCGCCATCACAAAAGCGAGCGAGGACGCCGTCGAGAAGCAGCTCAAGCAGGTCGAGGAACGGCTGGTTGCTGCGGTGCTGAAGGGTTTCGAGAAAGCCATCATGGAGGACATGTTTTGCTCCACTCTCCCACCCGAGACCATGAAGGAGCTGAAGGACATTGTGAGGGAAGGATACCAAGAAGCCGAAGCAGGGAGGTTGGAAGTCCTCACCGAAGCGATGGCGAGAGGTTTTCAGCGCTCGGCGGGCCCGTCGACGAGGTCGCGTCAGGAGGGTGTGGGAGGGGTTCGCAGCGGGGCTGAGCCTCGAGGTCAGGAGCGGTTGGTTCCTCCGTCTTCTTCGGTGGGAGGACATGTCGGCAGCCCGGTTGGATCCCCACCGGCGCGTGGCCGTCATCCCGTCGCCAAGCCCGTCCCCGAAGTCATCGTACTCGACCAGTCAGCCCTCCCGAAGACCTCCGTAGCGGCTCCGATCGATCAACCTGATGCGTTTGCTTCGATGCGGGACATGCTGCAAGACCTGGGGAAAACGGGTGGGAAAGGAGTGGTCGCGGGGGAGAAAAGTGGTGCCCCGAACGAGCACGTCGCCTCGACCGGGAACAGAGCCCTAGGAATGCGAGGTGCCTCTACCCCGTCAGGCGGCGGTGCAGGGAAAGGAGCGGGAGAAGCAAGCGCTGGGTTGCTGTCGAAGCCTAAAGCGGCATCAGCTGCGCACGGCGGTGGTGCTGGCCTTGCTGCCGGGCTTGTGGGAAATTGGGCGTCTTCCTCAACCCCTCCAGTTGCTCCTTTCGCCGCTGCTCCGTCCCTAGGCAACGTTTGCCTTAGCGATCCGGGCTCCCCTTCAAAGTCGAAGAAGAAGCCGGCTGCGACGAAGTCGTCGAAGCGCGCTGCACACGCGACAGAGAGCCTTGACGTGGTGGAGCTGGCCAGCGTCCCTGGTCAGGCGCCTGTCGAGAAGACCTCTATTGTCGTTGCTGCTCGACAGGAAAAGGCGAAGAAGGCCAGGGTCACGGGTCACACCCCACCTCCTCGACCGGACGACCGAGGCAAGACGAGAGGCTGCAAACGTCCCTTCAAAGGACCGGGTTTCGGGTCGCGGAAGGGGAAGCTGGTTTCCGAGCAGACCGTCGGCGGGAGGAAGCGGTTCCTTGGCACATTTGAAACAGAGAAGGACCAGAAGTTCTGTACGGCCGTCTGCTGGCGCGTATACTTCCCCGACGTTGTCCTTACGGAGTACGAAGGGTACACGGCGCAGGATGAGGAGGACAGGAAGGTCTACCTTGATGCGGCCGCAGAAATGCCAACCGGCGTTTGGAGCGTTGCGCAAGAACAAGGGGAATGCCGTTTTGACGAGTAAGTCCTGTCGAAGTCATGTTGCTAGACTTTGCTGTTGAATTCCTGCTGTTTTGGTGATTTGTCGAACACTAGCTGTTTTGCGGTGAATGTGCTGTCGGTCGAATTCTGGCCTCTTGACTAACGCATTTCTTGCGATGTGCAGTTACCTGTCGCTGTTGGCGACGGCAAAAAAGGAAGCGAAAGCTGGAACCGAGAGGGGAATCGCGCTGTGCGTGGCGATTGGTAAGGTCGCGACGCTTGGCCTGAAGCACGGGAATCTGATTTACCCGGTCCCGAAGGGCATGGCGGCGACACCGCACATGATGGCCATCGCAGCAACTGTGGCGAGCTTGTGGGCGGCCTGTAGGAAGTTGTCGAGGGAGGATATTAAGAAGGACGCCCTAGCTGCCGCAAACGGGGCGATCTACGCCCCGGAGACTGCAAAGAAGGCTTGTGTGGCTGCCATGTCCGCACTCGTGTCCATACTTTTGCACGTCGGCAAGACGTTCCCGGCGAAGCAGTGGCCCGATCACCTGTATTCGTCGGCTGTCGAAGGTCTCGGCTCGACGGACGCCATATTGCTGCAGATGCTGCGCGTGGCAGCACAGGTCTGTACGCAATGGTGCTGCTGTCGAGCTGCTGCCCGCTTGCTGGAGGACGCGGGCTATGGCAGCCTGGCTATGCCAGAAGAAAAGAGCAAGGCGAAGCAGGGCGTCGAGGATGCAGCTGAGACGGAAACTAGCGGGCAAGGGGAGTAGTGTAGGCGGGCACTTTGCGTGGGGGTGTTTGCCATTCTCGACAGTTGTGTTAGTTGTTTCCAGAGTTTAATCGACAGCATGTACATGTTGCATGAATCTTGACTTTCCGTGTGCGATAATGCTCAGAAGGTTCATACAGGCAAGATGGTCGGTCAGTAATGAGAATCTGCCATGCAATCTCTGAAAGAACACCCTACTCTACTTTCCCCCCTCGTCAGGATTGCCTGTCGAACTTGGGCTCTCGCCCAATGTTTTCATGAACTCTTTCCATTTGTCTTTGAGCACGTTCTCGGCCCATTTCGTGGTTCGAAGCTCGACGCGAATGAGCTCCCGCGTGATCCTGAGGCGATCTTTGTCCTTCCGGTTGTCTTCTGCTGTCTCGACTTTGCGCTTCTTCGTGAGCTGCTTCCCCGAATCCTCTTTGAGAACGAGCCCTTCAGCTAGCATGTTGATCGAGTGGTTCGCGACTATTGAGTCAAGCTTATCAATGATCGTCGACGTAGCCGCGCTGCTGTCGTCGACCCTGAATATCTCGACGGCCCTCATGACAACCTCCATCTTACGCAATTTCGACTCGACAGCTTTTGGGGTCGGTGGCTTTTCTTTTGGCTGGTCCACCGCAACCTGGGGAACGGTGGGACGAGTCGGAGTGAACTTGCTGAACTTGACGGCGAAACCCCTCCTGTAAGTGTGTCGAAGACTGTGTCCGTTGTTCAGCGGGCTTGGCCCGTCCCAGTACGACCACGCCTGCCGCACGGTCTCGCAATTGCACCACGGCCACACCACTGCGTCGAAGAATGTTTGGTCGAGCTGGCTGCCCTTGCTCTGTTGAGTGGGCGTTGATTGAGGGGGTTGCTGTGGTGGCGGGGTGGTTTCTTCGGTCGCCGTCTGCGGCACACTCTCGCTCCCCCCCACACTCGCAGCTGCGGTTGTCGCGGCGGTAATCTTCAGTGCGTCGAACGCTTTCTGCAGTAGCGCGAGTGCTTCTGCCTTCGCCTCCAACTCCGCTTGCATCGCGCCCTTCTCCCGCTCCAATGACTCGACCTTCTGCTCGAGGCCCTTGATCTTGATTTCTTTTTTCCCACCCTCCTCCTTGTGTAAGTTGACCTCTGCCCGAAGTTGCGTGATGAGGTGCTTGGTGTTGAGTTGAAAGGATGCGTCCTGCGCACAAGATCACGAGCGGTAGGTAAGTGGGCTGATGCAATCTGTTCGGATTAAAAATTAGAAGGGCCATCTTACCGAAGCTTTCGACAGCGTGGGGTTGGTCCGCATCTCGATGCCGTATTTGTCGAGCAGGTACACGTCAAGCGCCCATTTTTGGAAATCCATGTCCTTGCACAAACCGGACATCTGTACATAAGGGTGACGCTCGCAGTCGCAAACAGTCACTCCGTCGAAGGGGTGGTCGTCACAATGGACGTAGTACATCGCAAGATCCTCGGCGATGGGCATTCGGACGGCTTGCAGGGCCTTCAAGAAACTTTTCGCTGCGAAGAACATATGCTCCTTGTCCTGCTCGTTGTTCCATTCCATCGCCTGAACAAGAACAAACGTGGTGACATTGAGAGATAGATGGGCAAAACTTGCATTCGATGATCACGCTAAGCGCTCGACGCATCCATACCTCGTCGAGCCACTGCTCCGCCTCTGGAAATATGTGCTCCTCGATAGCCTTCAGGACCTTCGCGGGTACTTCGCTCTTCGATCTTCCAAGGTAATAGTCACCCGGTTCCGTCGTGAAACCCGCTTGCAGCTGGATGGCCCCGCGCGGGATGCCTGTGACGTATGACCTGCGCATCTCGTTCATGTCCCATTGACCCAGCTGCGCGATGTTGTCGAGTTCACAGTTTTTGTCGGCGAGGATCTGTGCCGCAGACCGTCGAAAGATATGTGTGACTTTCGACAGGATCCACTCCGCGTTTTTCATCGCCCAGGTAACCCATTTGGCATGAGTCGCGTACGGCAACTCGGTCTTGTCTTTGTCGAAGAGGGCGAAGAACAGGTGCTTCTTTGACCAATTTTCCGGGTTGCTGAAATCCAAGGGGGGCACGATCTTATCGTTGTTGTAGTAGAGCGGCACAAGGTCGAAAATGAAATGTATCCACATGAACACTGCTCCGAAGCCGCACTGCCGGAAGTCCATGTGTCGAGTTAGGTACAGGTGGCCGAGCTTGTTGTCTTTGATGGTCTTCGAGTTGCGATAGGCGACCACGAAAACGTGGATAGACGATTCCCCCTTGCTGTTCGTGATGGGCGGAAGGACGTGAGTGAACATATTGCAGTAGCGGATCTCGCGGATGCTTATCCCCCTGCCCAGCATGTGATGCGCCATCAGGATCATCACCCTCACGGCCAAGGCCCTCCACAGCGACTGACTGGGGTGACTCATCGACTCCCGAAAGTACTCCTTGGCCCAGTACGGCAGGATGTCTGAAACGAGAATGCGGAACTGCTCCTCCGTGTAAACATCGTCGAGCGAGCCCCGGTGTGGATCGACGCACTGCCTGCATTGAGTGGGCAGATACAGCGAGTAGTTGGGTGAGAATTTGAGTGAAAAGTTTTAGAGTCCGGTGTATGGCAGCCTACTTACTCGAACTGAAAGTCGTGCAGCTGCCGCAGCTTGACCGCAAGAAGCTGCCGGGCCTCGGTGATGTCGTCCAAGGGTTTCGTTAGTGGCTCGTCGAAGAGTATGGCCTCTACTCTGCAGAAGCACGTCAGCGCAGTAAGGCGCGCCAGCATCATCGGAGGGGTGTTTTTTTTCGCCTTCCTTCCAGCGACTCTGGTCCGGCCTGTGTCCAACGAAGCCGCTTGTTGGTCGGTTTCAGTCGACATGTATTCGACGTACGCGCGCAAGCGCCACTTCGTTATTTTCGGCCCATGCAGGTGCTCCTCGTTACGCAGCGCCTCCCTCCATCTCGGCCCCATATCGTCGCCGATCTCCCTACCGATCTCGTCCTCGTAGATCACCTGCTCCTCTTTAGGCACTCCGTTGCTTCCCTCGGGTGCCAGAATTTTACAGGCCCAAGCTTTGTAGTGCATGCTTCCAGAGACATAGTTCGGCCGTGTGGAATCCTGGTCAACTCCCAGCAGCGGAACCTCACACCGGAGAATCCTGCTTTTAAGTGTTCCGGTCGCCAAGTACGGATTGTCTGCGCCCGGTTGGTCGCCGAGAATGTGCGCGGCATCCTCCTCTGAGATATTTGCCGCAGTAGGCCGCAGAGGGTCTGGCGGTTCGACATCGTCCGCCTCCTGCTGTTCTCCCGTTTGAACATCGTCATCGTCCGTCGCTTCAGGGACGTTCCTGGCTAAGTCCTCTCTGCTTGGTCTCGTCGAAGTGCGCCTAGGAGCGGCGGGGCCGGCTCGAGAAGCGGATGTGCCGGCAGGGGGTGGTTGGCGAACCTCAGGCGGAACAGCCCTCGCTCTCCTACGTCGCCCACCTGTCGAGGTAGGTGCACCAGCTGAAGGTTCCGTCGAGCGGTGGGCTGTCGACGATGGTGCACGGTGAGCAGGAGCCTCGTGTGTAAAGGGGGCATTTGTTGTCGAGATGGGTTCTACGACAACAGGTATGGATTGACCTGTCGAAGGGAATTCGGTCAGTGCACCACCCACTTCAACAGTGACCGGAATACCCGTCGAACGCTGGTCCGTAACAACCGGCTGTATTACTACCGGTATGGCTCGCGACGTCGAGGTGGGCGCTGCCACCTCCGGTATGGCACGCATCGTCGAAGGGGGCGCGGAAGAAACCGGCGTGGCTCCAGACGACGAAGGGGGTGGTGTCGAGATGGACTCCAATTCGACAGGTATCCGTCCTACGTCCGCCTGCCGGGAAGGCGCTGTCGTCGACGGATCGGTCTCCATCAGTGCCCACCGAAAGCTAGCAGTTCTCCCTAAATCCTGGCCTGCTGAGGAAAGTGTGGTGCTTCTACTATGAATTCAGGTTTATACAGTGACCTTGGGCTGATGTTGCTCCCCGTGGAGACTGAGACATTTGACGTGGCAGTCGGCAGTTGACGTGAACGTTTGACTGCGACAGACGTAACCCGTCGCCCATCCGACAGCGACAGTTCGCTCGACCGACGAGGCGACAGGTCGGCCGCAGTTGACGTCTCCGTCGATTGCGACAGTCGGTATTTCGCAACCGTCGACCGTCAGCGCCACCGTGTGGGCGACATGCCACCGGGTGTAAAAAGCGTTGTCGGGGGTGCACGGTGCTCGACGGCGATTGGCCAATGTCCGTCGAGCACTGTTCGACAAATGTCCCCGAAATTGCAACAGTTCGGCCGACATATATATGAGAATAAGAATACGACATTGAACCCGCGGGTTTCGGAGGGTTTTTTGGCCTGGTCAGCCGGGATTTTTCAAGGGCCCGGAGGGATTCGGAGGGTTTTTCGTTTTGCCTCAATTCCCTTTGTGCCAGGGCGGGCGGGGCGGCATGTGATGACGTCACCCGTGTGTATATAATCGGATGATCCACCAAACAATCTCGAAATTCAGATCTGAAGTCACATTTGCAATTCGCGAACTCAGGTCAGAATTTCGAGACTCAAATTTGAGCTCGCCAGATCGCGGACTCTAACAGATTTTTTTTTCCGGTCAGCCGGAGAGAAATTTGGCGAATTTTAGGAAAATCCGCAGCGTACGAATTTTAGATGCGTATAAACTCAATACGCAATCTCAAAGTAGCGTTTTTTCCAACTTAGCCCCAAACCCTGTCTCTTTCTCCTTCCCCCTCCCCAAACCCCGTCTCTTTCTCTCTCTCCCTGCGCTCAACTCGTCACCTCTCTAGGAAGCAGCTGACAGTGGTGGCAGGGCAATCGAAGAAGAAAGGCCAGCCTCCATCCCTCGCGCCCTCAGGGTGTCCACCCATATCAGGGCGGAAGAAGCAGCACCCTCTCGTTTTGAGAGTTCTCAAAAGCCACCCATACCATGGCAGAGGAGGCAGCACCCTCTCCTACTATCGAGGAGCCTTTGAGTCAACTTATAAACCTTTCTTGTCCTGGCCTTTCCCTCCCCTCCCCCTCTCTCTCTCCCTCTCCCCACTCTCAAACCATTACCACTCTAGGAAGCAGCTGACAGTGGTGGCAGGGCAGTCAAAGAAGAAAGGCCAGCTGCTGCTCTCCATCCCTCGGGCCCTCTGGGTATCAACTGACCTTATGGCGGAGGAAGCAGCGCCCTACGCCAACCCTGTGTGGACGCTTGCTGCCGGAGCTGCCTGGCTGCTTCGGGAGCAGGCTCGGGGGCGAGGCTCGGAGTGGTGGCCGTACCTGCAGATCCTGCCGGCCTACGTGCCTCTGCCGTACCTGTTTGATGCTGCCACGCTGGACGAGCTACAGTCACCCTCGTTTGTGGAACGCGTATGTTGGTGAGAGTTTTTGAGTCGTCTCAAAGCAACAACAAAAACTCACTCATTTCACCCTCGTTTTGTGGAACGCGTATTCAAGAGAGAAAACAACGACACCCTTCCCCCCACGACCCACCCTTCCCCCTCCCCCCCTTCCTGGCTCACAAGTTATTGTTCCTTTCTTCCCTTCCAGCCTTTTGTGCATCTCCAACCTTTCTTCCTGTCTTTGTCATCAATATCCATTCCTGCCGCCCTCTCCCCATCAGATCTGCATGGTTCCTGAGCACTAGGAACAACAGTACAAACTCTGCCGCCCCCGTCAGTTACCCCAACGGAAGCCTGATTCTGTTTTCCCTTGTCCCTCAATCGTATCCCGCCCCTTCAGATCCGCATGGTGCGAGAGTACTACGAGCAACAGTACAAACTCTGCCGCCCGCCAGCCATCGCCTTTGCCTCGCTCCACCAATTCCTCTGGGCCCTCGCCATCATGAACTCCCGAGCCTTCTCCACTCCCGCACCTGGCCGCCGAACATCCGCCGAGCCTCACACTGACAGCCACAGTGTCAACAGTGACACGTCAGGCTTTCCTCAAGATGAAGAGAGGGAGCAGGAGAGGGGGAGGGGGGGGATGTTAGAGCAGCTGATGGCTCTGCCTGCGTCTGAGAGGCGACGGTTTGTGGGGGAGCCAATGGCTCTGGTGCCCATTGCAGAGCTGATTGATCATCACCACCCGCACAATGCACAATACAAGGTGTGTGCGCCGTTCTATAAGCTTATGTTTGAGGCGCCTCCCACACGGTTTGTGGGGGAGCCCATGGCTCTGGTGCCCATTGCAGAGCTGATCCACCACCAGCACCCGCACAACGCGCAGTACAAGGTGCGTGCGTTGTCCTTCCCATGTTCTTATTCATCTCTAACACTCTGTAGCCTTGTCTATACACATCATTTTCCCATTGCCTTGCTGATCGACCACCACTACGGCACTACCCGCACAACGCACAGTACAAGGTGCGTCACTGTACAACATTGCAAATGCCTCTTTTGCTATAACTACCAGTATATTACATGACATAGTGCAAGGTTTTATATTCCTACTGTGTATACCTTAATATTCACATACATGTACATGTGTGCAAGTGTGTATTCCGCCATGTAAATATCGTAGGTATTTACTTTACAACAAAAAATCATACGAAGCAACACACATGCCATATGATCTCTTTAGTGAAGTATTTCATTTTCTACTTATTATTATCATTAGTTCAAGGTGGGCGATTTGATAATACAAACACTTGACAATTTCTTTATGCCATCCACCTCCCCCTATCACCCGACCAGGTGCAGCAGAACAGTTTTGACTTCTGCGCCATGGAAGAGGTTCAGCGCAGTGCAGAGCTCTCCACAGTGTACAGCTACAAGCCCAACCACCACCTGCTGCTGGGCTACGTGATTCCCTGACCTAATGCGGCTGTGCCCCATTCCAATCTATTCCGCCATATCCTTCCCTACCAGGTACATGCCAGCGGTTTTGACTTCTACGCCAGGGAAGAGGTTCAGCGCGGTGCAGAGCTTTTCACAGTGTATGGGTACAAGCCCAACCACCATCTGCTGCTGGGATACGGCTTTGTTCTCGATGACAATCCCTATGACCACGTCCGGCTCTTCCCGAACCTCTCCCGAGCCATCCGAACCGTAGCCGCGGTGGTGTACCACCAGGAGGGGCAGGATGTGGGGAGAGGGATGGGGGGAGGGAGAGGTGGGGAGGTTCGTCCGGGGGAGGTGGATCTGAGGGCGGGCTTGCGCCGAGTTTGGGGCACAGGAGACCCTTTGCTGCTTCCAAGAGACGAGGAAAAGGCCGTGGGAGGGAAGGGGGGAATGGGAGGTAAAGAGGGTGTGGGAGGAATGTTGGGCGTGGGAGGAAAGGGAGGTGTGGTGCATGTGATGTGGCAGGCGGCAGCAACAGCGGTGGGTGAAGTGGTGAAGGCTCGAGAGCCTGGGGGGACGTATGCTGAAGGGAATAGCTTGCCACAGCTGCAGCTGCGACAGCGGATAGAAAAGAGGAGTGCAAGGGAAACGAGGGGGATTAGAGCGGAGCATCGTAGTGGCACAAGCACAGAGCATACAAAAGAGGTCCTTGTAAAGGAGGTGCTTGTAAAGGAGGTGTTTGTAAAGGAGGAGGACGAAGGCGTGGGAGTGTCTGTGTGGGCGGGCGGCATAGTGGAGCCAAATCTGCTTGCTGCCCTCGCTGCCAGCTGGCACGCCGTCCACGTGTCACAACGTGAGTAGCTGAAGCAATACAGATGTGAACACAGTACAGTGCGGCGTGTGTTGTAGCATATGGCTCGTGCAACCATTCTCTCTCTCCATCCCTCTATTCCGCATCTCCATCTCGTCCTCCTCTCCCAGTTTTTGATACAATCTCAACCTGCCTGCTCTTTCCCGCCCCACCTTCTCAACCTGCTGTTTCCTCCCGTCCTGTCCCCACAGGCCCAGCCACTCCAGACCCAGACTACACATGCCTGGCCGGTGCTGCCTCCTCTATGGCTGGGCCCTCTCCACCTCGCTGTAGGGATTTTTTTAGAATTCTCAAAAAAATCCTCCCGTCCTCTCCCCACAGGCCCAGCCACTCCAGACCCAGACTACACATGCCTGGCCGGTGCTGCCTCCTCTATGGCTGGGCCCTCTCCACCTCGCTGTAGGGATTTTTTTAGAATTCTCAAAAAAATCCTCCCGTCCTGTCCCCACAGGCCCAGCCACTCCAGACCCAGACTACACATCCCTGGGCGGTGCTGCCTCCTCTATGGCTGGGCCCTCTCCACCTCCTCCTTTCACCACCTTCTGCCAAGCGCCTCTTCCTTCAGGCGTCTCAACACTCTATCTCTCCCTGCTGTTCCCCTCCATTCCTTTCCCCATGTGCAGCCTCCCCTGACCCACACCCAGACTACACGTCCCTGGCCAGTGCTGCCATTCATTACGGCTGGGCCGGCCCTCTCCACCTCCTCCTGCCACCACCTCCTCTCAATCGCCTCTACCTTCAGGCATATCATAGTTTGCCATCTCTCCCCGCTGTTCCCTTCCATTCCCATGTGCAGCCTCCTCTAGCCCAGACCCAGGCTACACATCCCTGGCCAGTGCTGCCATTCATTACGGCTGGGCCCTCTCCACCTCCTCCTGCCACCACCTCCTCCCAATCGGTTCCTCCTTCACACCTGCTTTGAAAGCTGCTGCTGAGACGGTCCGGCTCTTTGCCGAGGCTCGGTTGAAGCAGTTCCCAACGAGTTTGGAAGAAGATGAGGCGGTGCTGGAGGAGCTTCGAGGATGTGAGTCGGCAGGGCGTGCGGGGTTGAAGGTGGAGGGTTGGTGTGAGGTGGTGCTGCCGGTGGTGGAGGAGAGGATTACGGCCGTTCGGTTTAGGATGCACAAGAAAAGGGTTCTCAAGGATGTGACAGCACGATTGCGAGAAACTTGCTCTTGGGACATCAGCAAGACAGATGTGGTTCGATAGTAACGTGGCATGGCTATAGAGTCTGCATGGTGTTTACAAGGAATGTTTTTTTGTAACACGTGATATCCCAAATATAAAAATCTCCACAAAGAGAATGAGAACATGCGAAAGGTGTATTATGTTCCCTTCCCACATCACCTGACGCTGCTAGCTGAATAATATGTTTATGTGAAAAAGACAGATAGTTATTCCATGGACGAGGTGTACAGCTTAGGATCAATCTGGATTTGTGTGGATGAAGGTCCAAGTGTTGGCGAAGCAGTTCGCAGAACCCCTCCGCGTAGCCCTGCGATGCAGTTTCCCGTGGTCATCATCGAACCCAGAAGTCGCAAGAGGCAGCCAGTCGTATGAGTCGTGTACTGTCCTCGGTGCGTGTCCGATCCGCCGCTGGCGATAGCAGCAGGTTCTGCGACTACAGTCAAAGCTTCAATCAGTTCCCTCTCATCCTTCCCATCCTTCCTAGCTTTCCCTCCAACGCTCTCCCCCTGCAGCCTAAGCAACTGGTATCCCTAGGATCTGTGAACTCGTGTGCTTTGGCCTGCAGGCTTGAACTGTTCTCGTCATATTACGTTGCAGATTCTTCGTCGTCGCCTTATTGCCGGATTTTATATTAGTTTCGGTTGGGGGAGGGCCCGCGATGGCCTCGAAAAGGATTCTTAAGGAGCTGAAAGATCTTCAGAGAGACCCTCCTACATCATGCAGTGCAGGTCCAGTTGCCGAAGACATGTTTCATTGGCAAGCGACAATCATGGGTCCTCCAGATAGTCCTTACGCCGGTGGCGTCTTCCTGGTTACCATACACTTTCCTCCCGACTACCCTTTCAAGCCTCCCAAGGTACGATCTGAAATCTGTGTGTATTGAATCGCGACGTTTGATATGTATTGCTTGCCGTTTAGTTACCATATGGTTCTTCGCAGGTACCCTAAATCCGTGTGTAATGAATCGCGACGTTTGATCTGTATTGTCTCCCGATTAGTTACCATATGGTTCTTCGTGGTTACCCTCTTAAGTCATTTTCGGCAGTTCCGGTCGTCAATCATGGTCATCTGGGCTTCTTGTCTGGGAATTCTTCAGTCTCAACATTACCTACTGTCGCTCCATTACGCTCCAATATTGCAGGTCGCCTTCAGGACGAAGGTGTTTCATCCCAACATCAATAGCAACGGGAGCATTTGCTTGGACATTCTGAAGGAGCAGTGGAGTCCAGCCTTGACCATTTCTAAGGTAGTTAAATGAGGCTTTTGTTCGATGTTGTTACAATTTGGTGTTCTTTTCTAATATTTGTGCTTTTGTCCTTCGCAGGTACTTTTGTCGATTTGCTCCATGTTGACGGATCCGAACCCAGATGATCCTCTGGTTCCTGAAATCGCCCACATGTATAAGACAGACAGGCAAAAGTATGAAGCAACCGCACGTACCTGGACAGCCAAGTATGCCATGGGCTAGCCACAAAACGAGGGGGTCTACCCTCTCTTTTGTACATCCAAGCCCCTAGTTTCTGCATCAGTCATCCTACGAACAGTCTTTCCTCTTGTGATCGCTCTCCTGTTGGACCATCAACGATGAAGCAGAATGGCCTGACATCATTTCTCCATCCCATCCTCTTGAGGCTGTTATTTGAAACATGCTGTATGAGATGTGATATGATTATGGAGCTAGATGAGCTAGTTTTGGATGGTATCATCTTGAGGCATCCATGGAGATCTTGTTGATTCAAACTATTTGCAGTGGAGGAATGCATGCAGAGATTGGGTAGTTTGGTTGTCAAATGCACTCTGTCATCCGAGATACGGGTATGGCATCCAGACCAGACGGTTTGCCAGCCAGACATGCTGAAAGTGAGTTTGCTGCAACTGAACCTTATTCACGCAACAAGCTATTTGGAAATCTATAATGATATGTTTTTCTCAACTACAACACAAACACATGGCACAAGGTTTGCTTTGAGAGTTATGGGGGTAAAGATGCACAAGAAGAGGTGTAGTTTCATGGTTGGAGTTGTGGTCTCCTCAAGGAGAAAATGCGAATTGAAGGCAGTAGTCTTCTGCTAGAGGACAAGTTATAGCATTTTCACCCACTTCCAACAAAGCGTATGCTTTGTTTAAATGTGCCACGTCATAGAAGTGATGTGGATGGTCACCATGAATTGTCCACCCCATGCCCCACGCTGGCGTCCCCCAATCAAGGACTTGTACATCACCGAGGCGCGCCAATAACCTCGGAATCTCCCTGCCCTTTGACTGGAAGGTCTGAGATCTCTTCGCGAACAAAACCGTCGCGACACTCTTTATCTCAGCAAATCGCGTGCCTTTCTCCCACCTTGTCAGCTGTCGCGAATCTCGCAGCACCGAAGACTTCCTTCGCAAAGGCTCAGGGCCAAGGCATTATGGCTGTGGAGAATCTTTCGTTAGGCTTGACTAAGCACGCATCCTCACACTCCATTTGGCTGCAAGCTTCTGGGTTCGAGCTACAAGGTGCTGCCAGTTGGGCTTTTTTTTGTGAATTACGCCGGCATTCAAGATCTCAGGAACTCCTTCACGAAGTCGAAAGGACTCTCAAATTGTTTCGCGTCTGGTCTCATTTCTAGGCACATGGCTACCGCGAAGTATGCCACGGGCACCTGCCTCGTAGGAGCAAGCCAGCAGAACAAGAAGCTCGCTAGCGCTTGTCAACATAGATTTGCCTCTTCGTCGGGTGGGACCAAGATCTCTTGGAGCGCTGCCGTTTCTCAACAACTTTCAGTCCAGCAGAAGAATGGCACCAGCAAATCAAAAAATTTGAAGAGGCCAGTGACACCCCGAGCTATTTCCGATTCGGAAGCGTTTACTGATGTCTGTCTTGATCCAGAGCCCAACAAGGTGCGTGCTTGGGTTAAACTGGTCGCTCCATGTCGTTTGTTTTTGTGACTTGCTTTTGTAGATCGTGTTTGGGTGTTTCGTCTCATGCAAAGCCTGGTGCTTTGTTTCTGTCACGCAGAGTGTGCTCTCGGTGATTTTGGGTGGGGGAGCCAGCGCAAAGCTTTACCCGTTGACGAAGGAGCGAGCAACGCCTGCTGTGCCGTTGGCCGCGAATTACAGGCTGATCGACATCCCCGTTAGCAACTGCTTGAATAGTGACATAGATCGGATTTACGTTCTCACTCAGGTAACTTCGGCTGCTTTTGTTAGCCTACAGCGGCAGACAGTTTTTAACTGGGTGAAAGGTTTTTGCTTGGTGCTGATCGCGTGCTTTCGATCATGACGTTCGTTCGTTGCAACACCAACTTCATGCTTTTCTCTCAACGTTAGCTCCTTGTCTCTGTTCGCAGGTCAATTCCGCCTCGCTCAACCGTCACTGCTTCACAGCATATGCGCCGTGCCTGAGTGGTTACCAGACCAAGGGCTTCGTGGAAGTGCTCGCAGCGGAGCAGAGCCCGGATAATCCAAACTGGTTCCAGGTAAGGACCCGTGGGTTTCGACTGGCACTTGAGTTTTTAAAAGAAACCATGGAAGAGTCATAGTCGATCTTATGTAAAATAAGTCATTTTACTTTATGCTGTAACGAAGCCCCGATCGGAAACACATCATTTAATTCTTTTGACTCTGAGTGGTGTGTTCACTCTATGTCAGGGAACGGCGGATGCGGTGCGTCAGTACATATGGCTGCTGGAGGACCACAACCCGCAGGAGTATCTGATCCTCGCGGCCGACCAGCTGTACCGGTGCGATTACCGCAGAATAATCAAGTGCCACCGGGGTGCTGGTGCTGACATCACCGTCGCCGCGATCCCTGTCGACAGGTAGAGGGAATTGAATTTCAGGGATTTGATCTTGCAAGACTGTTTTCGTCTGCAAGTGCTTGCCTTTCGGTATAGAGATGGTTTTCTGACGCTTTTTCTTGGCTGGACTTGTTTAGAGAGCGGGCGACGTCCTTTGGGATCATGAAGGTTGATGAGGATGGGCGTGTGACTGAATTTGCTGAGAAGCCTCAAGGAGCAGAGCTCGACAAGATGAAGGTACGAACAGTCACCAACTGGAAGAATAATTTGGGCACTACCCAATCTTTCAATAGGCTCGAATAAATTCTGTCCTGGTGATTGGCCTGGTTTTTTCTCACGAGAAGCTGACGTTGTCACAAACGTGGTTGGAATTGATTTCGTTTACATTGTCAGATGGACACAACGAACGTGGGTCTAGATCCCCAGGAGGCAGCAAAGCGGCCCTTCATAGCGTCCATGGGGATCTACGTCATCAGCAGGGAGGCTCTGCCTCGCCTGCTTCTCGAGCAATTCCCAGACGCCAATGACTTTGGCCGGGAGGTCATCCCTGCTGCCTGTGCTAATGGATCCAAGGTGAGTTAACATTGAGTCAGGCTTAAGGTCATGATCAGCAGGGAGGCTCAGCCTCGCCTGCTGCTCGAGCAGTTCCCAGACGCCAGTGACTTT